CTCGCGGATAAACTCTGTGAAGCCGAGCTCCCTGGCGAGGGCCGTCGCCTCCCTCCTGCACCGCTTCGCGCGCGCCGCAAACTGCTCCAGCTGCTTACGCAAGCCCTCCGGCGGCCCGGCCAGGAAGAACTCGATGCGCGGCGCCCTCATGAGCAGGAGGTCCTCGTGGCGCGTGGCGCGCGAGAGCAGCACGTAGAGCTCCAGCCACCAGTCGTCGTCCTCCTTCTTGCCGTTCCCGACCTCGCGGCGGCCGCAGTCCAGGATCACGCCCGGGCGACGTCGGCCGAGGGAGCAGTGCGCCGGGCAGCCGACGGCCCAGGGCGAGAGTCCACAAGACCGAAGGATGGCTGCGGACTGCTCGCGCCTCGGAGGTCTGGCCGCCCCCGGAGCGCCGTTCCCCCGCCCCGTCGCCTTCTCGCACGGTGCGCCCCTGGCACGCCACCGCGGTGATGACCCTGCCGTGCGAGAACGGGAAGCCCGCCCGGGTGACCTTGGAGGTGCGGAAGGTGAACGGCTCCGACGTGCGGGGCTCGATGAACACCAGCGGGCCCGTGAGGTCCCCCGTGAGGCTCTCGTCGCGGCGCTCGAGGTCATCCACGAAGGGCGCGCTCGCGTACTTCTCCATGCGCACCCAGAACCCCAGCGGCAAGTGCTTTAGATAGATCCTCTTCTCCCCGTCTCTCTCGGCCTTGTCGACATCGCCCCGATCTCGAGGGTCCACGACGATGTGCACGATCTGCCCCTCGGCATCCTTGACGAGGCCGTTCTTGAGGTCCAGCGCCTCCAGGAGCCGGATCCGCATGCCCGCGTGCACCGGGAGCAGTCCGTGCATGCCACCGGTGTTCTTCGGGTTGGCACAGTTCATCATCTTGGCGGCGTCCTTCCTGCTCATCGTCGGGGCAGACCTGTCGGCGGCCTGCACGAGGAAGAGAGGCTTCTTCAGGACGTCCGCGTCCCGCTGGGCACGCATGTTCATCCAGCGCGCCACGGTGTCCCAAAAAACATGCTAAATAATAAAATAAAAAAAATAAAAAATAAAATATAAAATAAAAAATAAAAAATAATCAATAAAATAATATAAAATAATAATATATAGAATAAAAATAAAAATAAAAAAAAAAATAGAAAAAAAATAAAAAAAAAAAACAAAAAAAAAAAAAAAATAAGTAAATAAAAATATAAAAAAATAATAAAATAAAAAGGGGACCCGATCATGTGGCCGTTCTGGAACCTGTCCCCCCGGAGTCTACGATCATCGGGTTTCAGCTGCATGGCGTTCCACGTGGCCCGGATGGCCGGCGGGACCTGCTTCCCCGGCTTGCGCGGGAACGCCATGAGGTCCCTGAGTTTCGGGTCCTTCAAGCGGTTGGACGCCTGGAGCTCGAAGCACAGCGGCGTGTTGCAGAAGAGCTTCATCACTGCCTGGTACTCTGGTGCGAGGTTGATGCCCGCCGCCGCCAGTTCCTCGAAGCTGGAGATGAGCGACACCTTGCCTCCCGTCGGCTTCAGCTGCAGGAAGTCCCCCAGGTGGATCACGATGGGCATCCGGCCGAAGGCGCCGCCGACCTGGTCGTACTCCCGCTCCTACGCGCCCCACTCGGCCTTGCGTCCCAGGTAGGACCGGGACCCGCACTGGGACCTTGCGTCCCGGACTGCGCCACTGGGACCTTCGGCGGAGCTCCCTGTGGGGCCACGAAACGTGTGAGGGGTGTGCCGAAATGGGTGTGCGGGACGCATGCGGACGGCAGCCATGGGGCCTTCGGTGGAGCTCCCTGTGGGGCCACGAAACGTGTGAGGGGTGTGCCGAAATGGGCGTGCGGGACGCATGCGGACGGCAGCCATGGGGCCTTCGGTGGAGCTCCCTATGGGGCCACGAAGCGTGTGAGGGTGTGCCGAAATGGGTGTGCGGGACGCATGCGGACGGCAGCACTCGGGCCTTCGGTGGAGCTCCCTGTGGGGCCACGAAACGTGTGAGGGGTGTGCCGAAATGGGTGTGCGGGACGCCTGCGGACGGCAGCCATGGGGCCTTCGGTGGAGCCCCCTATGGGGCCACGAAACGTGTGAGGGGTGTGCCGAAATGGTTGTAGCGGGACGCATGCGGACGCGCACTGGGGCCCTTCGGTGGAGCTCCCTGTGGGGCCACGAAACGTGTGAGGGGTGTGCCGAAATGGGTCGTGCGGGACGCAAATGCGGACGGCAGCCATGGGGCCTTCGGTGGAGCTCCCTATGCGGCCCGAACCGTGGTGAGGGTCTCGCCGAAATGGTGGTGCGGGACGCATGCGACCGCGCACTGGGCTGGTGCCTTCGTGGAGGCTCCCTATGGGGCACGAAACGTGTGAGGGGTGTGCCGAAATGGGTGTGCGGGACGCATGCGGACGGCAGCCATGGGGCCTTCGGTGGAGCCCCCTATGGGGCCACGAAACGCGTGAGGGGTGCGCCGAAATGGGTGTAGGGGACGCCGCAGGGAGGAGAGGGGAGGAGGAGAGGAGGAGGAGGAGAG